CCGATGTACCCCCTTATAAAAAATGCGAAAATGGGTCAAAAAATAAATGTTCCTTAAAGTGATGGGGATCGATAGCATTTGTAGCAAGCTGCTCAAAACAGTCGGTCTTTTTGCTGTACGCTTTGATTTGACTAAGCTACGACTGAAAAACCACGAAAAATGAGTATTTTTGATCAAAATACGAGTCCAAAAAATATCCGATGTACCCCCTTATAAAAAATGCGAAAATGGGTCAAAAAATAAATGTTCCTTAAAGTGATGGGGATCGATAGCATTTGTAGCAAGCTGCTCAAAACAGTTGGTCTTTTAGCTGTACGCCTTGATTTGACTAAACTACGACTGAAAAACCGCGAAAAAATGAGTATTTTTGACCAAAATCTGAATCCCAAAAAAAACCGATGTACCCCCTTATAAAAAATGCGAAAATGGGTCAAAAAATAAATGTTCCTTAAAGTGATGGGGATCGATAGCATTTGTAGCAAGCTGCTCAAAACAGTCGGTCTTTTAGCTGTACGCCTTGATTTGACTAAGCTACGACTGAAAAACCACGAAAAAATGAGTATTTTTGATCAAAATACGAGTCCCAAAAATATCCGATGTACCCCCTTATAAAAAATGCGAAAATGGGTCAAAAAATAAATGTTCCTTAAAGTGATGGGGATCGATAGCATTTATAGCAAGCTGCTCAAAACAGTCGGTCTTTTTGCTGTACGCTTTGATTTGACTAAACTAAACCTAAACTAAACTAAACTAAAACCGCGAAAAATGAGTATTTTTGACCAAAATCTGAATCCCAAAAAAAAACGGAGTACCCCCTTATAAAAAATGCGAAAATGGGTCAAAAAATAAATGTTCCTTAAAGTGATGGGGATCGATAGCATTTGTAGCAAGCTGCTCAAAACAGTCGGTCTTTTTGCTGTACGCTTTGATTTGACTAAGCTACGACTGAAAAACCACGAAAAAATGAGTATTTTTGATCAAAATACGAGTCCAAAAAATATCCCCTTATAAAAAATGCGAAAATGGGTCAAAAAATAAATCTTCCTTAGAGTGATAAGGATCGATAGCATTTGTAGCAAGCTGCTCAAAACAGTCGGTCTTTTAGCTGTACGCCTTGATTTGACTAAACTACGACTGAAAAACCGCGAAAAAATGAGTATTTTTGACCAAAATCTGAATCCCAAAAAAAACCGATTACCCCCTTATAAAAAATGCGAAAATGGGTCAAAAAATAAATGTTCCTTAAAGTGATGGGGATCGATAGCATTTGTAGCAAGCTGCTCAAAACAGTCGGTCTTTTAGCTGTACGCCTTGATTTGACTAAGCTACGACTGAAAAACCACGAAAAAATTAGTATTTTTGATCAAAATCCGAGTCCCAAAAATATCCGATGTACCCCCTTATAAAAAATGCGAAAATGGGTCAAAAAATAAATGTTCCTTAAAGTGATGGGGATCGATAGCATTTGTAGCAAGCTGCTCAAAACAGTCGGTCTTTTAGCTGTACGCCTTGATTTGACTAAGCTACGACTGAAAAACCACGAAAAAATTAGTATTTTTGATCAAAATACGAGTCCCAAAAATATCCGATGTACCCCCTTATAAAAAATGCAAAAATGGGTCAAAAAATAAATGTTCCTTAAAGTGATGGGGATCGATAGCATTTGTAGCAAGCTGCTCAAAACAGTCGGTCTTTTAGCTGTACGCCTTGATTTGACTAAACTACGACTGAAAAACCGCGAAAAAATGAGTATTTTTGACCAAAATCTGAATCCCAAAAAAAACCGATGTACCCCCTTATAAAAAATGCGAAAATGGGTCAAAAAATAAATGTTCCTTAAAGTGATGGGGATCGATAGCATTTGTAGCAAGCTGCTCAAAACAGTCGGTCTTTTAGCTGTACGCCTTGATTTGACTAAGCTACGACTGAAAAACCACGAAAAAATTAGTATTTTTGACCAAAATCTGAATCCCAAAAAAAACCGATGTACCCCCTTATAAAAAATGCGAAAATGGGTCAAAAAATAAATGTTCCTTAAAGTGATGGGGATCGATAGCATTTGTAGCAAGCTGCTCAAAACAGTCGGTCTTTTAGCTGTACGCCTTGATTTTACTAAGCTACGACTGAAAAACCACGAAAAAATTAGTATTTTTGATCAAAATCCGAGTCCCAAAAATATCCGATGTACCCCCTTATAAAAAATGCGAAAATGGGTCAAAAAATAAATGTTCCTTAAAGTGATGGGGATCGATAGCATTTGTAGCAAGCTGCTCAAAACAGTCGGTCTTTTTGCTGTACGCTTTGATTTGACTAAGCTACGACTGAAAAACCACGAAAAAATTAGTATTTTTGATCAAAATACGAGTCCAAAAAATATCCGATGTACCCCCTTATAAAAAATGCGAAAATGGGTCAAAAAATAAATCTTCCTTAGAGTGATAAGGATCGATAGCATTTGTAGCAAGCTGCTCAAAACAGTCGGTCTTTTAGCTGTACGCCTTGATTTGACTAAGCTACGACTGAAAAACCACGAAAAAATTAGTATTTTTGACCAAAATCTGAATCCCAAAAAAAACCGATGTACCCCCTTATAAAAAATGCGAAAATGGGTCAAAAAATAAATGTTCCTTAAAGTGATGGGGATCGATAGCATTTTTAGCAAGCTGTTAAAAACAGTCGGTCTCTTAGCTGTTCGTCTTAATTTAGCTTATGTTTTTATTTTTATTAATCGTTTACCAACCGCTGACGTTTAGATCGATTCAGGGGGCTTCCGTTGAAGACAGTTCGAATTTGAATAATCGAAAATTCAGGAAAAACGTAATAAATAAATCATTCTCCGCAAAGGCATCAACTCAAACGCTTCCAACTCGTCGGCTTCCGATCCAAAATTCAGATGGCACAATTTTGGGCTCAAAGTCTACTGGCACTCTCCAACACATGAATCTGATTTCATAGCCATTTCTCATTAATTGCTCTACGTCCTCGGCGGGGACATAGGTAACAATTTCACAGTTCTCCATAATCCTGTAGACTACTTTTTGCACATATTCATCACCGTAAGGTTTTAAAGCGGTATGCTTGGCCACGCACCACTTATTCACAGTTAAACCCTCGTTTTGATTTTGGATAATTTCGAATGACCGCTTTAGATCTCCTCTATCGATCATCGGTAGTACGAATGATATGGCTTTGAGTTCGATATAACGAACAGTTTCTTCCGAATCACTAGCGTTGAGCGGTTCCATTGTCACGTGTTGATCGGAAAATTATGAACCAAAATATATTTGTTTAGAAAAATGTTATCGAATTAAAAGTTATAAAACACTCTTGAAAATTTGTCAACTTCACACACAAAAGTATAATTGTACTAGTCTGTACGAATGCTTTTGTAAGAATGAGCCTGAAAAGTTCACAGCCTAGGCAAATGGGGAAACGGTGAAGTCACAGCTTACTTTTTACAAAACTTTTTGAAAATGTACGACATTTGGGAACTGAATCAGACTTGGGGTAATACGTACTTTTTCTGGATCTTAGCGACCATACATTCAAAGCATCTTAAGTGTTAAGAAAGTGTTACTTTTTCTGGATTTTCGCATCCATACATCTTACACATTAAGAAACCGCTGTTTAACGAAGAGGATTTCCACCAATTGGACAGTGTAAGAGCCAAAATAAATAAATATTTTACAGAGACATCTATCAGTGAAAACAGTTTGGTATAAAAGTTACATTTGATTTGGTGGGCTTTCCTGAAAAAGCTGTACTATACTTAAAAGGCTTATTTCTGCTTTAAAACCCGTTCAAGGATTAATTACCGGAAAGCCAAGAAAAGCTTTTAGAAGGTTTAAAAAAATACTAAGAAAGCGAGGCGAATATTTTCGGAAAGCTAAGAAATCTTTATTTGAATAATGAAGGGGAAGGTAAGAAAAGTTTTGAAAAGGTTTCAAAAGTACTACGAAGGCGATGATAATATTTTCAAAAAGCTAGGAAATCTATTTTGAAATAATTTAGGGGAAGAAAAGAAAAGCTTTTAGAAGGTTTCAAAAAATACTACAAAAGGGCTGTAATGGATTAATTTAGGGATAGGAAAGAAAAGTTTTTATGTTTTAAAAATAACACGAAACAGATCCAAACAGTTTTGAAAAGCTAAGAAAATATATTGAAGTAATTTAGGGTAAGGAAAGAAAAGCTTTTAGATGGATTCAAAATATAATAAATTCAAAAAGCCATGAAATCTGTATTAGAAAACATTAGGGAAAGGAAATAAAAGTTTTAAGGTTTCAAAAACTATACGACAAAACAGCAAATATTTTTGAAAGGCGAAGAAAATGTATTGGAATAATTTAAAGGAAGATGGTTTAGATGGTTTAGATGGTTTCAAAAAATACTACGAAAGCGAGGATTATATTTTCAAACAGCTAAGAAACCTATTTTGAAAAAATTTAGGGAAAGGAATTAAAAGCTTTTAGATGGTTTCAAAAAATACTACGAAAGCGAGGATTATATTTTCGAAAAGCTATAAAATCAGCATTGAAATAATTTAAAGGAAGGAAAAAAAAGCTTTAAAAAGGTTTCAAAAAAGAGAGACGAATATTTTCAAGGTTTCAAAAAATACTACAAAGGCCAGGCTTTTATTTTCGAAAAGCTAAAGGAAGGACTAAAAAGCTTTAAGAAGTTTTCAAAAAAGAGAGAAAAATATTTTCAATGTTTCAAAAAATACTACGAGTGCCTGGTTTATATTTTCGAAAACCTAAGAAATCTTTATGGGAATAATTTAGGGGAAGGAAATAAAAGCTTTCAGAAGGTTTCAAAAAACACTACGCAAGAGATGGGAATATTTTCGAAAAGCTTAGAAATCTGCATTTTGAATCGAACGAAAGCTTGCAACACGTTGCGTTGCGCTGCGGTGTTGCTGCCGTGCCTGCGATGTTGCTGTTGTACCTGCGACATTGCTGCTGGGCGTACGGCGGCAACATCTGGTGGGGCGCAGCCTCAGCGACGCCGTCAGTTGGCTCTTGACTCTCGGTGGCTCTGCCCGGAATCAGACCCGGAATCGGAACCCTAATCCGAAACCGAATCGAAATCGGAATCTAGCCCCGGATTGTGATTCAGACTGAAAGAGAGTAATTCGGCACCGTTCCAAGTTTGCACTTGCAACAGCAGCAGCAACACTAGTGGCAGCAAAAATCAACAAAATCAACAAAAGGCTGCAAAGACTGTGTGGCAAAAAGCAATCAGCAAACAGTCGGTTGTAAAAAGGACTCGGAAAATAGGAAAATCGGGGCGAGAAAAAAAAATTTGTAAAAAGGAAAAGGGGAAGGTGTTGTTGTTGTTGCTGCTACTGTTGCTGTTGCTGTTGCTGCTTTTCCTTTGACTGGGAAAATTGTGCTGTGTTTTGTTTTCACATTTCCCTCTCTTTTTTTTTTCAAGTATTTTTAGTGCTTGCGTGCGAAATTTTGTTGGTGTCAAAGTTTAACATTTTACGTGAAATGTAAGTAGCAGAGCCTTGAAAATAGCAAAAAATAGCCCAAAATAGGAAAAATAAAGAAAAGGGAAAATCAATGCGCGTATGCGTGTGCCCCTCTGTGTGTGTGTGTGTGTGTGTGTCCGTGTGTGTGTGTGTGGTTGTAAGAAGGAAAATCCATAAAACGGCGTGAAGTGAAACTCGAACTTATGGATGTCTTGGCGAAAAAGCCAGGCAAATAATTTATCAGATTCGAATTAAAGACACCCCATCTGCATAAGTGTGTGTGTGTGGTGTGTGGGTGTGTGCAATTTTCTGTTTTTGGCAAGGGCACAGAGCCAAAATCCGTTCATCTGTGGTAATAATAAAAAAAAAGTAGCTTTGTAAACAAGCAATTCGGCTGCCAAACACGGAACCGCCGAACAGCTGATCAGCCGCCCAGCCACCCACTGAAAATGACCCACCCCCTTTACAAAAAAAAAACACACACACACAGGCAGAGGTGAAATTGCTGCCAAAAACCGTCTGTCGACACAATGCAGAAGAACTTTTTGGCCAAAAGAACAGTGGGCCCAGAGCTTAAAACCTTCTTTCAATTATAATGTAAACACTAAGTCACTTAAGTCTTACATATTCCAGACAAAGTGGAATTAAACTTTGAACTTTGGAAGACCTGAAAGTGTGCACCATTTAATTGTCAGTCCTGTTACGTTTTTCACTTTCACTCTAATCGATTTGCAGCAATATTGATATTTAGTCGATTTAATGGTATATCTCTAAACGAATGGCTTTTACTTAATTATCTTATTTTTATAACGACTTACGTGTTATAAAAATATTGTCTTAAAGTTTTCCAAGTTGCATAAAAAACAGATTTAAAGTCAAATCGAATTAAAAAAATTCTCCTCGAAACAAAAAGTTTAAGGAAATATAGTAACCAATATACAATTTAGAAATTAACACTTGAATTTCCTGTATATTTAAGCTCTGTTTTAATACATATTTAAATATTTACATTTTAAAATATAATTTGACTACTAAATATTAAAAAAATATTTGTATTTTTAATTCCTATTTTATTTACAAAGAAGTCATATAAACTCTTTTAAGTATAATATTCTACTTAACCAAAGAGACATCTTAATTTACAATGGTGCAACTACAACAAAAAGTCTTGTAAACTTATCAATTTCTTTGAAATTTATAAACAGCAAATAAAAACATTTAGATATTTTTTTAAAAAATAAACAATAATAGCGTTTCGTTTTTATTAATTTATTTACCAAGACTATACCAAGTTCTAAAATACATTTAGCTTTATCTATATATAAAATCCTTGGTCTTTCGGTGTTAAAATATAAAATAAAATGTTTATTAGATACTGATTTCGGAGCTCAAAATACATTTATAAAACCTTTTTTTTTTTTTTAAATTTTGCCTTTTTAAAACTTTTTTTGGGAAATAACCTTATGCCACTGTACAACAACAGCAAATTGATTATGTTTTACCTTTCTCCAAAACTCACACACACATAGTACCCAACACACACACACGGGCGAGTAAGCAGAAGCAGCAGTAGCAGCAGCAACACAAGAAGAATAATTGCAACAGCAACAGCAACATTTGCTGCAAGTGCAGCTCCCACAGCCGTCGCCGCCGCCAAGTTCAAAATCAACGCCTGACAATGACAAAGACAGCAACGTGGCGCCCACCAAGCCCAAAAAGACCAGCAATAGGAGCAACAACAATAGCTAGAATAGCTGCAACAGCAACATCAGCAGCAGCAGCACCAGCTGCAACAACAAGGACAGCAGCAACATCAGGAGCTGCAGCAGCAGCAGCAACTGCAACTAAAGCAATAACAATCAATGGGCCCCAAACGACATGGCGACGTCAACGAGGCTGCACGCCAGCAACACCAATCATGCAGCAGCAGCAGCAACGGCAGCAATTGCAACTGCAACAGCAACAATCGTACTTGCAACGCCTGAAGGCGGCCGGTCGACTGGGGGCGTGGCTGCCAACAATGACGTCGTCGATGTGGCTGCCAACCGACTCCCTGGCCCAGCTGATTTTGGCCATCTGCCTGCTGGGCTGCCTCAGCCCCTTTACAGGTAATTACCATTCCCCATTCCTTTCTTCAATCACAGATTTAGATATAATCAGATCTAGAGTGGATCCTTATAAATCATCCTTAAGTCTTACTTACTCATAAAAAAATCTTATGGACATAATGTGGGTCCTTTTTGCAGAGTGGATCCTTATATAGCTTAATTAAATCTTACACACTTCTAAAACATAAATATATAATATTTGTCCTTATAAATCTTTGTTTAGTCTTACTATTCTTAAAAAAATAGTATAGATATAGTATAAAGTGGGTCCTTGTAAATCTTAAATCGATTCCAAAACCCATTCCTTACTTCAATCGCAGATATATACATATTGGATCTAGAAAAGTTCCTTATTATTGTAGCTTGAATCAAACTAACTCTTAAAAAATCGTATAAATTAGATCTAGAGTGGATCCTTGTAAATCTTAATTGGTATAGATTCATATAACCGAATCTAGAGTGATTCTTTACAACTCTTATATGGTACATGCAATATACCTTTATCGGTATATTTATACCTACTTAGTATCCATGGTTTGGGCTGATATAATTATTTGAAATCTTTGAAAAAAAAAATTCAAAAGATATATGCCAATATTTTACTTTTGCTTCGATTTAAATTAGAAATTTATTATAATTAAGTAAGCAAGATAAATAAGCGGGATAAAAAAATCAGTTATTTTTGTATTCACCATCAAAAGCACCTTTAAAAATTCCTTCATCAATTTATTTTACTATACCTCAAGTTTTGGTTTTTAAAAATGTTGGTCTAAGAGTATTAAAAAGTATTACCGATAGTTCAAAACAAAAAAAGCTTCTTCTAAGTAGATACATAATATAAATCAATACATAGGCAGGGATACCATTGCTTATAAATGCTGACTTTCACATTTATCATAACACTAAGGTCCACCCTAATGGTTATTCATTATATATTCTCCTCGTTAGCAGCGATTCCTTATTTCAGCACCTAAATCGAATCCGTTTTAATGCCCTCTAATGATGCGATTTTCCACAATAACATTTGCGATTCGCAGCGTTTCACAGAAAATTAATTTCGTAGTAGATACCAACAGAAAAAGAAAACTGTCGGAAATTTTGCCATAACAATGTCAGCCAGCCTTTGGTTTCATATTTTCCCTTTTTTTTGCGAAATTTGCATATATCGAAGGTTGCAAAAACACCCAGCCAACACTCCACTTTCTAAGGCGCCGGTGAGTCGGCAATAAATCTGCCTATTACAGTGAATATTCCCTTGAAGCGATCCCCAGATATTTCAAATCAATAAAGCATATTGTAAGGTCATTTTTGATTTCGTTTAATAAATGGTCCCAATGAATCTCTTGAGTTCTGAAATTAATTATTCAGCTGGTCAAATGCACTTAAGAAAGGCCATTAGTTAACTGCAAGCTAAATTCATTATAAATGCCCTCTAGAGTTTTATTGTCAATTACTTTGCTGCCTAGAAGCTGGTAAATACAAATAATAGTTTTAAAAGCACGTCAATTAATTATTAAGGTTGCCAAGAATAAGCAATTGAATTTTTTAATTTTACAAATTAATTTTATATGCAAAATAAACCACAAAATATTTCATAAACGCTTAAATATTATTTAATATGCAAAAGAAATCGCAAAATATTTCAAAAGTTGCTTAAAGTAAAACAAAATAATGTTCTTGAAATATTTTCCTTAATGCATTTTTCCACAAATCGAATATTTACTGTACCTTACCTTGCCTGTGCTCAATCAAATTTGATGATTCTGTTTTTCTTTTATGTGCCAGTCGGAGTCGAGCAATAAACAATTGCCAGTAGAATGAGAAAAGTCTTGAGATTGTCAAAAAGGGTAAAAATGCAGTGCAGAAAAAGTAAAAAAAGAAAAATAATATACAAATTTAAACTAAATTAAATAATTATTTCTAAAACGATAAGCTATATTAAATTGTATATCTATTTTAGCTAAGAAGTAAATTAAATTTTCAATATTTTTTATAAATTTTTTCTATAAATTAATATTTAAATATACCTTTTAAGCTACATAAAAATAGATTCAACTGAAAAACCAACTTTGTTTGCTTTGTACCAAATCTATTAGAAAATTGAACTAATATTTTTGTACCCATTTATTTCTCATAAAGCCTATAGACTTTTCGCAGCCGTGCATGTTCTTTCTATTGAGCAGTTTGAGTAGTTAGTAAGTTGAACACAACCTTGACTTTGCACATGCAACGTACATGGCTGGTTTAACCCTGTTTTGCCACCCCAAAAACCCACTTTGGTTACACAAAATTTGAATGTTAGAACAAAACCAGATGAATATGAGAAAGTGGAACATGCGAAAGGCGCTTGAATGCTGATGATTCAACTTGAGTAAGATGGATATCGAACGATATCCTTATCCACCATCAATCTTGAGGCATTCTATGGCACTCAATAGCATACTTAGTGGCGCTGGGGTCTAATTAATGGCACGTTAGCCATTGTGGGCATGAGTGGGTTAAGGCCCAGGGGTGGAAAGTAGCTTGAAATAACTTTAAATAAAAATATATATTTTTATATTTACCTTTTTTTAGTTAGGAAATATTTTAATTAAATTTTTCTAGGCATACCTTGTTTAATAAATAAAAAGGCTCACGTTACATTGAAATCTCTTTTAATTATGCCTAAAAGTATGCAGCGTAAAAAAAGGTTGTGGTTCCACGGAATTAATACTTCATGCAACCGGATTTTAAATATATAGTTGCATACTTTTAGACACCTAAAGTATTATAGGCGATTTCAGAACTCTAAAGCTGTATGTGGCACTTATTATTAATAATAATACTAAAATTATATAATAAAATTATAATAGACTAAAAAATTATATTATTATTATATCATGGGAGTTTAAAAATACGGCATTTCACCAAAACGATAAATTAAAGTTCGTCGATTTGTTCTAAAATTCTAAAAATCCTGGGTATAGTTCATACAAATTATAGTTAAATACTATATATTTATGAAGGTGCTTCACTAATCCAGGGCATTAGCTTACATAAAGTGCCCCGATCGATGCGTTCCAGCTAATTACATAGTTCCCATTCTTTTCCCTCGTGATGACGATGGTGGTGCAATCAATCGACCGTCGAGTGGTGACAAGAGTTGGGTGTGCCAGTGCCATCGAGATGCCATCGCCAGCGGGTGATTATGGTCAACGATGCAATCGGATGGCCAATCGATCCATTCAGCGGCTAATCTGGGCCTGAATCGTTCGGTCAGGGTCATCCAAAGGCTCCTTAAATGCGCATAAGTGTGTGTTTCCAAAAACAAGAAATTAAATGGGACAGGGATCTGAAAATTACCCCCAATGTTATGTAGCTTAACTGACATTAAGAAGTATTTTAGGAAGATAGAAATCAATTTCCTATGCTTTTGTTATTTTTATCGAATATTAAACTTGCATATATTTTATTAGGGCATTTGAAAAATCGATTTCCTATTTTTTTTTATTTTATTATTATAATACCAAACAAGGTCAACGTGAATTACAATTTTTGACTCGACTCAAACAGTACACGTGCCGCAGTTTTAAACTTTAGTTCAGCCCATTACGCATACGACACGTTGACAGGCAAAACCAAGAGGCAAGTGTAAAAAAGTGACATTAGAAGAGGAAAAACGGAAAGGAAAAATGGAAAATGGTAAAAGGGAGGCGTCGACGTGACCGGGCTAATTACACTGCACCATGGCATTCAAAATGGTTTTATAATCTGCGCTTCCGTTAGCCATTCACCGAGTCGAGACTTGGTCAAAACAAATGTCCACAAATGTTTCAGCCGCCTCTCATGAGTTTTCCCGTTTTCCCCGCACATGGAAAATTCGCATTAGTGACAGCCATTGATTGCCAATACATAAGCAAATAAAGAATAATAAGTGTATAGAAAAGAAGAGAAGGAATGATATGGTCATAAGAGGGATAATTATAATAATGATATATGAGATACATATTTATCATAATAGGATGTGGGAAAATAGAGAAGAAAAGTGGGAATGATGGAATTAAAGTGCTATAATTATATAAATGGTATATGATGATATATATATCATTTAAAAGAAGTTCTAATTGGTCCTTTCATTATTTCTTTTTTCAAAAGCTATAATACTTATACATAAAATACAATTTATTCCTTATTTTATTTAATATTATGGGAAATATAAACCATATATCATCAATGCAATGGTACTTAAATCCTTTGAATATTTTTTTAGTAATGAAACGACCATTATAAAATATTAAATCACGTATTATTATAATAATGATGTATTAGATACATTTGTATCTTTAAAGTATGTTAGAATTGGTCTTTCCATTATTTCTTTTTAAGAAGCTATAGCTTAAACATCAATTTATTCTTCATTAATATCATCTAGGCAACGGAACTTAAAATAACATTTTAAAAAACGTAGAAATATAAATTTGATCTTTGAGATACATTTTTATCTTTAATAGATGTTGGGTCTGTAACTGCCATTATTTATCTTTTCGAAGATATAATTTAAACTTCAATTTATTCTTAACTTTGTTAGTTGTTATTCGAAACATCAACCATATATGTATCATCGATGCAATGTAACTAAACGTATTTTATAGTTGATATTTAAGATATTTAACCTTTAAAGGATGCTAGAACTTGACCTTCTAATATTTCTTTATTCGTTAGCTTTAACTTAAACTATCTTTATTGGAAAAATGAACTTAAATCGTCGATACAATGAACATTAAGACATTTCCTTATTTTGTAAGTCAACTTAACGTCCATTATAAATTCTTAAAAAAAACGTAAGCTGCTTAAAAAATGCTTTCCAATCTATACTATATATTTCTTCCTGTGCATAGAGTGTCGAGAGAGCGCCGCAAAGCAGGCAGTAAAAGTGGAAAACTTGATGGCTGCACTCACTCAACGATGCCACCGTGACCCTGCCACTTAGGCAGCCCCTTTCCCTTCCGGTTTTCCCAGCTTTCCCTCGGTTTCCACGCTTTTCCATCGCCTCTCCTTCGCTTTTCCGTCACTTTTCCTTCGCTTAGGCATTTATGAACTGCTTCGACACAAGGCTGCAACTGTGGCAGTGCATTTCATTTAATTTTTTTTTTTTTATCCGCAAGTGGCTTATTGTTGTTGGCCAGCCAGCATTTTGAATTGGCCACGAGCAGGAAAAGCGGAAAATCTCTTTAGCATTCTTCTCTACGAGTTCGGGAAAGTGGCGTGTGGCGTTTGACATTGAAAGTTACTTCCCACATTTCCGCTGAAAATTGATTAAGGTTGCTGTTTGACAACTTTGAGTCAAAGTACGTGCAATTCCATATATTATATATATAATGGCTTTATAAACCAAATGAAAAGTATTTATTTATTTAGAGCTAACTCTTGCTCTAACTAAAAATAAAAAATAAAATATTAAACTCATTTTTTTAAGTTAAAAATTGTATTTGTATCTGTAGCCTATGCATATATTTAACTTTATTTTAAATAATTTTAAACTAAGTTTTTCCCTGTAATTTTATAAAGAAATATAATTATTTTAAATTACGACTAAATTAAAAAAAAAATATTTCGGCTTAATGTTATCAATTTAAAACCATAGTTCTTAACTCTATTATTTTATTAACCAAAATAATACATAAAAAACAAAAACATTTTGGTTAAATATATTTTACTTAAATCTATGATTTCTCTCTTTATAAGTTTATTCAAAATAAGTAAAGCATACCAAAAAGATCAAAGTTCTTATGAACAGCTTAAATTGATCTCTGTTTTTCGCTGAATTAAAATAGAAAATAAACTGAATCAAAATGAGATTATGCCCACACAATGTCATCGAATGAAATCAAATGAATGACATAAATTGCCAGTGAAACTAAGCGAAATGAAAGCCAAGTGGTATTGACACATAAACATGCCTTTCAATTTACATATTTGCAAATAAATATATGTGGGTATATACATATTTATATAAACTTATATATATTTACAACGGTGGGCCTCGTCAATTGAGCTAAATCATATAAATTAAACCCAATTGCAGGGCAATTGAAAGCGATTCGGGAATTGAGTGCACTCACTTTCATCTCCCTCAATTTACTCGTCTCGTTTGGAACTCTAATTATTTTGAAATGCCCGTAAAATGCACTGCTAATTTTTCTAATTGCAAGTTGTCACGAAGTTGCGAACTGCACAATTAGTGTGTCACTGATTTAAAACGAGCTGAAAATTGATTTTCCCTGGAAATAGAACAAAGGGACTAGACCAATTTAAACGCATTTCGCATGAATTCCCGCGCCAAAAGTGGAAAAAAATAAAATAGAAGACCACTTGAGCAGAATGTTTCCAAAGAGATGGAGGAGCGCCTTGTAAAATGTCACAACAAAAGCTATTTATAAGAGAGACGCGGCCCTGGACTCACCCAAAAACCCCCTGAAAGCCCCCAGAAACCCCGCGGAAAACCCCTGAAAACCTCCCAAAACCTCCCAAAACAAACCCCATGTCCGTCGACCGGAATCTCAACGCTCGGGTCAGGTGGAAATGAAGAACGCCAGGCATTAAAAAGTAATAAACATAATTGTAAAATAATGCTGGCGCTACCATGAAATGCATTTTACAGCTCAAAAAGCGAACAGAACACTGGAAAAAATTAGAACAAATTACGCAGAAATAAGAAATTGTGAAAAGCCTAATTACTTACTGGAACTTTCAATCAATTTTATATCTTTTAAGTTAAGAAGCTTTAAATTTGTCGGAAATATCTTTAATATCTTTTTAATACCTTGAATAAACTAAACTTTAAGAGGTCAAAAAAAACCCAAGTCGTACATAAGATAATAATTTTAAAAATTCCATTTGATTAAAAATACCACTATCATGTGTTACGTTTTTGATTTCTGATAAAACCTTCTTGAAAAACGAAAAGTTAGTTATTTTACTGTATTTTTTATTCGTTTTACATTATATTTGTTTTTATCTTTAATTTTTTTTCACTTAAAAACTTAAAAGATTATATAATCCTTTAAGTTTATTAATATATCGGAACTTAGAATATCATAAAATTGAAATTATTCACACAACATAAAATCTTTTTTTTTAAATTATAACAGTGGGGTGTTCCAATTTATAAGGTAATTACATTTTATATAAAAATTGTATCTTTAAAACTACAAGATATTTGTCATGCATATAATCAAAATAATTATTATACAGCTTTTAAGCGTTAACACTGATTAAAAAAAAATTAAGAACAATAAATTAGATACATAACCATTATTTATTTTTAATTAATGAAAAATAAGTTGTTTTCTTTGGTTAATCAACGTATGCTAATTTATTTATTATTTTCGAGACTTAAGAGATATTAGGACCTCCTGTAGTGTTCCATTTGCATTGATTATTTCCGAAAATTGGTCTGCTCATTTTTGGCCCAGTGTGGGGTATCCACTGCGAAGGGCGAAGGTTAAACAGAGGATGGGTGGCGAGAGGTGGGGTGATAGCGGGGAGGTGGCCTGCTAAACTTTGACCCAGGACACAGCTAAATTGTTTGGGCGACAGCTGGCTCACGAAAGTTGAACGTTTGCTTTTAATTATTCAGCGATCTTAAGAACGGACTGCAGCGAATGAAAGAGAAGGTGACCAAAGAAGGCAAAAAATAGAATGGAGAAAGCTGAGAAGAAAAAAAGAAAGCAGGATAAGAAAGCGTGGAAAACCCGGCATGCGATGTACATATGTATATGTACATATATAAAGGGCAAAAGCACGTGCACCTGCGAATGGCGGCTGCAGTGGCAGAATATCGTGGAAAACGGCAGGAAAAGGGCGGAAAAGCGAAAAAGGACGAAAGCAGGGCAAACAAACAAAGTGAACAAACAACTGCAGCTTCCGCCCCAGTGACGCCCACCCCCTTTTCCACATTTCCCCAATGCTGCAACTCCCAAAAAGTGAAAAGAAAAGCGCGCAACACGGAAAATAGCTCGAAAAACATCAAAGGAAAACAATTTGGCTGCCGTTGGCCAATGGTTACACTGGAAGAAAATAAAAGTATTTGAGGAAAACAGCCCAAAAAATATTACAAAAAAAAAATACAGTCTTTTGGTTGGAGTTGGTGTGGTGGTGTTTGCTTAAAATCCTTTTCAGATAGTTTAATAATTTTATAGAACATTGTTTATGGAACCTTAATGTTTAACCTTTATTTTATTATTTTTAACTATTTTTAGTGAATTATAACATAACAGGCTGCTTGTAATTCCCAAGTGATTATTCGTTGACTAATAAGTTCTGTAGTTTTATGTATACATAAGCATGTATTAGCTCAGAACATATTTCCTAAAATTCCCAAGTGGCTTTTCGCTTGACTTTTGGTATAACTCAATAATTTTAAGAACTTTAGGATATTATATATTTATATTATTTGTGAATATAACAGACTGCTTGTAATTCCCAAGCGATTATTCGTTGAACAATATTTATTTTTGGCATATATTTGATCAGAGGCTATTTTCTAAAATTTCCAAGACAATTTTTGCTGGACTTATGGTAAAAATTAAATTTTTTTTTAGTATTTTAGAATGTTATTTTTTTTTTGTATGTGTACAAAGCGACCCATTAAAAACCGCATCCGCATTTCGCGGTCTTGTGCTCGAACTTGCACCTTCGAACCTGCAACAAATGCGGAGCTTCGCCTACGTCACTGGCAACATTTCGGAATGTTGGCAGCAATGTTGCAGAGCTTTAAGCTAACGTATAAATATAATGCCCCTCTGGGAACCGGAACCCCGTTGACCCCATCCTTCACGGATCTGCCAGCTGTCTGTCCCCACACATGTCCAACTGTCGGTGGCTTTATGGCCCCCTTTGAAAATTACATTCTAACATAGGGAGTTTATTTACTAAACGGAGAGGGAGAACTCTGTTGGGAACCCATTAAATTTCCAAGCTTTTCAACTATATTTCAAATTAAAGTTCGTTTTAACAGTTAGCCTTAAATGGCAGAGAAAATTACGAAATATGAATATTCAAGGATCCAATAAATAAGTTTATCTACTTAAATAAGAAACAAACCTTATAAAATATTTTTAAAACCGGTGATATACCCATGAATGTATCGTAAAAGTTTCTGGCAACCGAGGGTTTTGCATTTTTTTACAGTTCGTATTTTTCAAAAACTTTAACATCGTTAATATCATAAAATCCAATCATATAGCATATAATACTTAAAGTATTGATTTTAAAACATGGTATATACCTATGTATTTTAAAAGTTTCTAGCAACTAAATGTTGTAAAATTCAAAACCGTTTTATAGTACAAAGACACATTTCATGAAGAAAAGCTCCACAAATATTTTTGGTATTCGCTTGAAATATTTCCTATAAGACCTAAGTAAATTGTCAATCATAAAGAACATACATATATCAATTGATATTTCAATTGGCTTTCGTGAATTTACTGACTATAAAAATCAGGCGAATAAAATCGAGTTCAGTTCCATGGCGAACTGCGCAAAACACGTATTATCTGGCTTACGATTCGTGCGATTTGTGGTATAACCCCTGGTTCACTCGAATTGATAGTCCCTGATCTGGGGGATCAATCGGCGAACTAGCCGGATTAAAGTGGAGCATAGGTTCGCCTACATACTATATAATGTCTGGCCATCGAAACTACTTGAATATTTAATAATATAGCTTAATAACATGGTGATTTAATTGTCTGTGATTTTCCAGCTGCACTCGAGGAGGACTGCGTTGACTTTCAGGGCAACAAGGTGAACCACGGAATGCTCTACGTCCCCGGACCCGGGGTATGTAGCCTCTGCGTCTGCTACCACTCCGAACCACTCTGGTGTAAGGCCATCTACTGTGATCCGCCCTACGTGAGTATATGATTAAAATAAAGTACAAGACTCTAAAATTCAAAAGAAATTTAATTTTCTGAAAAATGACATATGGTATGGAAAGTGGGTTATGGGTAAAATCAAGAAGAAATTATTCTTAAAACTTAAATCGCTTCAATAACGAAAAATCCTATGCTTGAGTTCAAGAACTATTCTTCTTGAAACACAAAGCGTTTTAACAACGAAAGCGCCTTTGCTTGAACCCAAGAAATATTCTTCTCGAAACAGAGAAGACTTTTTCTTAAAATAAGGCAACTTGTTTTGAAATAAGTATTCTTTAACCAAGAACACTTCTTCTTGATTTAAGATATTCAGTCTCCGCCTACTTTTCAGCACAAAAATACTAAAATCTAGTGCTTGAAATAGGTTTTTTCTCAGTGTACGATAATCCCAAGTTCGAGTATTAACTGATTTGAACCTTTTTATATTTATCCAGCTTAAAACATTTTAATATAAAATAAAATAAATAAAAAAAATTAGAAATTATGTTAAAACATTTTTAAAAATAAGATCGTAAGGCTATCATATAAGTTAATAAATAAATAAAATTAGAAATTATGTAAAAAGATTTTTGAAATAAGATCGTAAGAATATAATTAGATCATAACGACCGTTAGCTTACATATCTATAAATGTACCGACGTACAATGTATATGTGCCTATAGGTACATCAAATGATAACAACTTATTAACCATCTTTAACCCTTAAACATTATATTTAATATGTTGTTTATACTCCTTTTTAGTTTTGCAAAAACTTTCGTGTTGGCGAACGCTGCTGTGAGTTCGAGTGCTTGGATCCGCCCGGCGAGGACAAACTGTACCAGGTGAGTAATACCTAAAATACCCATATATTACTTATAAATAAAATGACATCTCTCGATAGGAACGTATGCGAAAAAGGGCCGAGATATTGGCCGGGAACAGTACAGCCACGAATGTGCAAGTAGCCCCGATGGCCATGTCCACCATAATGCTGGGATTCCTGGGCAACAGCTTCCTGAACTTATAACTTGAAGTCAAATAGCAAGAGATGGAGATCAATTCAAGGCGAAGCTAAGCGAACCTCCCCAATTTTGTTGCTCCTAAAGCGTAGGAATCTCTCGAAAAATTATTACAATGTAATAAGTAAAAAAAAAAGCAAACAAACAAACAAACAGCCAGGCCAGATATTTGTAGCTAAATGTCTGAGCATTAATTTAGAGGATGCAAAAGGCATCGTGCCAGCGATGCGTAGGTTTTCACTTATATCCCCAGACATATAATAGGTACAATAATGATTTCAAGGGACATGGAACAGGAAAAGTTAAGGCATGCAAAAAGTTCAGGCACCTCAATTGCAGAAAAAAACATTTTCGAGTACTTTCAATGTGATCCGAATCCGAATCAGAATCGAATCGGTAGAGCCAGCAGATATATAGCATATATACATTTACATCTACCTAAGTATACTTGAGTAAGCAACACCAAGAAACCAGAACAAACTCATCAAGCGAACGTATAAGACAGTCTCTAGCTCCTAAGAATCTATAGTAAATGAAATAAATAAATATATATATATATATATATATATACAGATATGGAAATCTATGTAAGCATATTGTACATAAGAGTATATAGCTCTTTGTATCGGATCTAAAATTGTTGATTAGTGTTTAGCTAACTGAATGAAGGCAACTTCGGCTAGGAAGATAGGTTTTTTTTAATCCAATTAAAATGTTCACTATGAGTCGACACGATACACCACAGTTCACCACATTAGAACCTGCTCCTAGTAAACTTTATTTTAGAGCTGAGAGAAGATGGGTAGTTTTTAAAGTTCGTTGATCATGAAAAATATTTTATTTTATTGATTTTAATATATAGGTTTAATAAAAAATACGTTCAAAAATGATTTAAAATCTAAATTTTGTTTGGTTTTTGCATAATAAAAAATGGTCATTTAGTTTTAAGCAGTAGGAAATCGTTAAAAACGATTATAATTTTTAAAATATAATTTACTATCTATAGGTTGCCAGCTCTATTTTTCTTTCTAACCACACCAAACACGTTAAATACTTATAAATAAAAGAAGGTAAGGGCAGTGCAGTTCGATAGAAAGTCTCGATCTTAGTAAGAGGTAGTAAATTACACATATCTTGGCAACATTTTTTCCAAAATATTATAACAGTCACGAACACAAATGAATCATTAACTCTTGCATTGGTGCTAATTTTATCGTAGGCTTAAAAAATTATAAAAAATCACACACACCTCTCACTTCGCACATCACACTCCAATCATATTGAATCAAATTCTATATATCAATTAGGTAATGTAATCGAGAGCAAAAAAGGTCTAGCATATACAAAAGTAGTTAACCAATTAATAAAACAAAAAAAACCCTATGTTTTGTGTAAGAAATTTGCCTAAGGTAAACCTGTTAAAGATCTAATAATAATAACTAATGAAAACTAAATCCTATGTTCACTCGCTCGATAGGTTTTACATTTACCATTTGGATAGATCAGCAAAAATAAGAAATAAATGGAAAAGCGTTTGGCAAAGCTTAGTAGATATGTAAGAAAAATCCCTTCAAGAAGAGTTAGATCTCGTTTCAAATTTAGGCTAAAGACTCTGAAGCCATCTCCGTCTCTTTCTACATACAATAGTCAATCTATGATTGTAGCAATTAAATCTAGAGATATAGCAGGACCAGCAAATCAAACCAAATATAAAATTCGAAATAGAATGGTTAGAAAAACAAATATATATACACATATATAGGTATATAAATCGATCCAAGGGAAGTTGGTCAAATTTTTTTCACTTGACAGCACATCAAAGCAAAATACAATTAACAATAAATATATAAAATGCGGAAAAATCCGAGAAAAAAGTGGAGTACGGCTGTGAAATTATGTTTGCTTTAAAATGCATAAACGCAACTGTAAATAATAAAAGATTACTAAAGTATATAAGCCATAATATGGTAAAACAAACTATTCAGATCAAGTAGAAAATTCGAGAAAAGCGAAAAGAAGCTCAGCGAGCAGTGGAATAAGAAAAAAATAACTAATTAACTAAATGTACAATTCAATATGCCACAACATCTGACCAATTATGATCCATAACAGATAAAAAAAGAATATATATATATATATACACAAAAAATATATATACATACATCAATCCAAGTATCTGATAAGACAAATGACAAATTTTAATTAAACCAGATCGATACAGATATGAAGAATGGCAGATTCGAAGCGCGCTTAACAAATTTTAACATAGAATCAACTAACAAATGCAAATTGGCTTTAACTAACGAATAAAAACGAACAAATCACACACGATGAATAATCTAAAGATGATATTTAAAAGACATACATTTGATTTGATTTTAATCGATTTTAGTTTTAGATAGCAGTGTTGTGAAACAACCGAAAAACTTTTTCCTAAGCTTAAGCGCTTTGCCATTAGCAGGAACCCAGAGATCCTCGAAAAATAAATGTTTTTATAACCGAAAAGTAGGCTAAAGGCAGGATATAAAGCTCCCTGTATTCCGATTTCTGGAAAAAAGTACAGACAATTTTCGAAGTTTTCTCTTAGATTAATACAATCTATTCATTTTCCTTATCAATTAAGTGAAGATTCTTAAAAAAATTATATATGTATTACTTTAAAACCGAGAATATGAAAGAGATGGCAAATCATCGTGAAAAAGAAAGAGATAGCTTAATAAATGAGTACATGGGGCTATATATCCTGCCTTCCAGACTGGCAATTATTAATCTTTATTATTGATATAAATTATTGTAGAGCAGGAAATATTTTACATTTCTTAAAAACCTTACCAACCAGAATCAAAATCGAAAAGAAAACTATTAAACTTGACAATTTTCAAACGTAATCCAAAACAAAGTTATAACAAGAATGTCTAATGGAAAATCTTCAACCACAAAATAAAAACATTATTAATTATTATAAAGAAAGAAAGAAACAAATGTCATAAAATGTTTAACAATAATTTAGCAAAAGAAGCAAATCCAAAAATCATGTATGCATACTTTATAATAATAATAATTCTAAATACCAGAAAAATTTTAACAAAAATATACAAATATTTTCACAATAGCTTAAACAAATTGTGGTTGTCTCTTTTTATGGGTGAAGTGTAATGGGTATTACTTCTGGTTTTTTTTAGGGTTGATAAAAAACACGTAAAATATATTTTCTAAATATTATTTTTATATTTAATTTTTATATACTTTTTAAAAGATTAAAGATTTATATAAACGTTATAACTTATCGGTTAATTTAGAGTAGAGTTCAATGTAAGATCCCCTAATCGGAACCACATAAATACATTATCGCGATAGCCAGTTAAAATTGGTCCAATCAAAGGTTGTATAGGAAATCAACGATTAGATTTCATTATGTTATTTAATTTGTCGGCCTCATTGATTTTTAAAATAAGTGTGTTGCTCTGCAGACCCTGATAAAATTGGGCAGGAAGCTATTAATCAGGCAGATAAGAAGAATTCTACAAGATCATAGGAAGCCTTAAAAGGGCCACCTAATCTCGAAGCCAAAAAAATGATAATGAAATATTCTTTTGATAACAATATGCCAATAAATTATTAATGTCAACCTTTTTAAATACAAATAAATTTAAATTAAAACCGGATATTAAAAAATATAGGTTCACAGCTTTAAAACTCCATTATTTTAACGTTTAAAAGTACTTCACTAGCATGATCAATATAAATCCCGAAATCTCGCCATTGATTTTAAAGATTGGCTATGATATTTCTAGACCATTTGATATGTTCTATTAGAGATACAAATGGGCCATAGTCCATGGGAAAATCTGAACCTTCCAAATTGGCCAATCATCTAAGCAAACCCCACCGTCCCAAAACAAACAATCATAAATATTTGAAAAAAAATATTTATTATACTCGTATTTAATTGTTTCCTCTGCCTTCGTCTTATCGCCTTTGATTTGTCTTTAAAGTAAACCGCATCGTATGTACAAAGTTAAGTTAACACTCTACCAGTTAAATGGTATACAATACACAATACACTTGAATACAATACATAAATAGGTGTTAGTTTTAAGATCCCTTAGATTCCTTAGATGTCATGAGGTGAGATACAAGATACAAGGTAAATCGAATCCGAACTTCAAGCGGAAAAGGTTTTACAATTTAATGGGCACCCTAACCTAGTTAGGGAATGTCTAGTAAATAAAATACATATGGTTTAAAAGAGTTTGGTTTACGGCTCGTCAAGTGGTCGATTGTAAAAATCCACCAAGATTCGGCCTTCTTATGTCATGTAGTTTTCAATATTAGTCGTCCCCAATTTATCCTTAGATAAGTTTATATATTTTAGGTTTTTGCTTTAATTGTTTAACAATTACACGGGGCAACAGGAAGGAAATCGAATAGAACCGAATCGAATTGGCTGTGACTCTTACAAAACGTTATTAGACTTTCAACTAACATTCTATTTATTTAATCCAAATCATTTCGAGTTGGACAAGTTTTTAGATTCCTGTTGCACAGTGTAGGTTAAATTTCAAGTTTTTGGTTTTTTCAATAGTTTTTTGGTACGTGTTGCCTAAGAAGAAGATAAAATCTGACAGTCGAGGGTCGCAATTTCGTTGTTGCCGCTTCTAATACTCATTTTGGTGCCTGACTTAGCCAAACTATTTGGATGTGAGTGTTTTTTCGTGGAAACATTTCGTGTACACTTATCCTTAAATACTTAGATAAGACGAAATGTTAGTGCGGAAATCTACAAAATGATGCACATGTTAACTTGACAAGAGAGTTTCGACAAACAAAGCTGAATAGTGTTCGAAAAAGTGTGTGCGATGTATGAAACAATAGACCTATTTGGGCTTTGTCCATTTCAGAACAAACCATATCTATAAATTGCAAATCATTTATAATAAAGTTAATACTTTCTGCAAATCTGTAAACAAATTAGTTAAAGAAACTAGATTTCAGATAACATTTTTTAATTTTTCAATTACTTTGGTATTAGCTCTTTTATCTTTTGAATATAACAAAGTTGTGAATCTAAAGTATCCATTTCACTTTAATTTTATTTTAGACTTGAAATGAAATTAATTAAGAGGTTACATAGGGTTTTCAAAAAAAAACCGATTTTATTATTTAGTTAAAGTTGTCTAATATGCACTCCAAAAACTTCAATTCGATCGGATCAATAATTTAGGAGAAATAGTCTCGAAGCCACGACTTGAAAGCCGGTGGACACGATAATTCAAAAAGTTAAGAACCTATTTTTTACATTTTTTTTTTGTGAGAACAGGTCAACTGGGCTTTGTCAACAAAGAATTTTAATATATATTAATTTTTGGTCATTTTAAAAATTATAGTTCAAGCAGTACATTTGAGCTGCACTAACAAAAAAAATGTATATTATAATTTTCTGATGATCCTGTCAATATTTATCATGTCCACCAAATGGAAACTTTTTTTTGAGTCTCTGAAAAAAAGGTCTCAGTAAGAGTTTTTGACAGAAAATAACTAAGCAAACATGTACCTAAAATTAACCAAGTCATGTAAGTCATGTAAATTAAAATATCGATCAAAATATTTTAAAAGTAATCATGAAGTGCTTGTTTTTGGGTCGAAAACCCTATGTAACCCCTTAAGTTATTAATACTGCTAAACAATTTGAATAACCTTCTTAGAGTGTAAGAAATAGTTTACAGAATACTAGTTTACTTAATTGTCATTAAATTAGAATTTACAAGAATATAGGACACACACAGTTACTAGGTTTAAAATAAATAACAAAACTTTTGACATCAATTGGTAAAATAACATAAATACTCTAGGTGTACGACAATTGCAAACATATAGAAGTTTTATCGAAATAGAAAGTTCCAAATAGGCCTATAAAAGCGATGAAGCGGCTGAGGCTTAAAATTAAGGCTGCCGCTTCATCGTTTACAACCAGATGTACATGCCCCCTATAAGAGATGTGTAGTATTTGGTTATGTGTGAGTGTGTGGATTGAATGGCTACATCGCCTAAAGCGTCTTGAGCAAGCTGGCCTTTGCAGCACCGGCTCCATAGCCCGTCTGCTGACCGTATCCGGAGCTGCTACTGGCCACGGCTGCGGCGGCGGCCACCGCGGCATCCGCCACGGGAGTTCCAGCGGATCCCGCTGAGCCCACAGTGACTGCCGAGGACTTGGGAACGCCGCCCTTTATCAGCGGCTTGTATCGCTGCAACGCCTCCGCGGACGTTAGCTTGAATGTTTCAATCATTTGCGCTCGGACCCGCTCCATCAGCACATCGATGTCATCCTTGGTCAGACCCTCCGTGCTAACCGGCGGCAGTGTGGTGATTACAATGCGACCCGCATTCAGGATCTTCTTCTTGTCATTGAGGAATGTACAGTATGAGGAGAAGACCACCGGCAGGATGGGTATCTGCTGGTCGATGGCCATGTGAAAGGCGCCCTTCTTGAACGGATGCAGTTCGCCCGTATTGCGACGCGTTCCCTCCGGGAAAACCCACAGTTTGATGCGTTGCTTCTTGATGCGCCGATTCACATCGTTCAGCGTTTCCCGGGCCTTCTCGCCGCGCACCCGATCGATGAAGATCAGGCCAGCCAACCAGGCGGCCAGGCCGAAGGGCCAGGCGTAGAAGAGCTCCCGTTTGGCCACCACCGTGCATTTGTTCATCACGTGCCAGATGTTGAACATGCCTGCGAATACAACGAAAAAGATACAATGAGTAGGGAGCATTTAAATATCATTAAAAAGAGTGGAATCTTTAAGTAAAATTGTTGTTAATCCAAGAGATCAACATCATTTTGGAACAGGTTCTTTAAATTTCGATCATATTTCCAGAATATATCCACTCGTACAGAACTCAGATGATTACCTAGTACGTCCAGTGAGCTCTGATGGTTGGCCACAATGATGCAGGCCTGGTCCTTGGCCAAATGCTCCTTGCCACGCAGCTCCCAGCGCAGGCCAATCAACGTCGAAACGCGGTGGCACCAGGTGCTCGCCCATCTGCAAAAATAAAAATCAGAATATGTATCAGAATGATAATTTTATGGAATACTAATTATAATGTAAAAAAAATATCTAAAATGATCCTGAAATTACCAAAGGTTTGCGAACCAACCCATATGTCCTAAAATAGAAAACATTCTGTGAAACTATTTTACGACCTTTTAAAGTCTGTCAGCAAAATGGCCATGAATTCACCTGGAAGTCATTTTAAACTTAGGTATACAGGTATTATTAATTAAGTAAAAATAAATATCTACAACAATATCTAATATTTAATATGAAAACATTTCAATAAACTTTTTTTCGACTTCCATAAGTCTTTTATCAAAATGGACATGAATTCACCTGGAAGTCATTTGGAATTCAGGTATTCAGGTTTATAAACCTTTGAAATTTAGGTATTCAGGTATTATGAACTAAGTAAAATAAATATCTACAACAATATCAAATATATAAAATGAAAACATTTCGTCAAACCATTTTTCGACTTCCTAAAAGTGCGTCCCCAAAATAGCAATGAATTCACCTAGAAGTCATATGAAATTTAAGTATTCAGGTACTATTAATAAAGTAAAAAATATTATCTACAATAATCCTGAAATCATCAGGGGTTTGGAAATCAAATATATGCCTAAAAATATTCAATGTGGAAACATTCTGGAAACCATTTAACTACCTCCTATAAGTCTATCACCAAAATAGGCAGGAAATCTTTTGTAAGTGACGTAGACTTAAGGTGTTTAGGTATTATTAATAAAGAAAAAAGACTATCTAGAATAATCCTGAAATCACCAGGGGTTTGCGAAGCAAGTATATGCCGTGAAGTATTTAATAAGGAAACATTCCATAAAACCATTTTACGACCTCCTGTCGTTAAACAGGTCTATAAAATCATCTGGAACCCATATGAATTCCATAGATTCTACCTTACGTCACCCACTATTTAAAAGGCTATTAAACAGTTCCCACACCTATTACAGGTCGCTAGTGAATTGAACCCAAAAACAAAGCCAATTGTGAATCCGATATCATTTAATCAAGCTGACAGTCAACGAGGCGTAGCTCTGATTTCTCTATGATCCCATCTACGATGATACCCATCCATCCATTCATTCCACATCGGCTAATCGTCAGAGTCATGACACGTAATTACTGTTCGGGAGCTACGTTTAAATGATACCCCAGAGAGCAGGCGGTTGAACCACCGTGAGTGCTCACTGGGAATTCTGGTTTAATTTGCACCTATGACAACGGATCGATAAACTGCATTAAATAGTTACAAAGGCATAATTGATTCAGGTGAGTGGGGTATACACATGTGCGACTACTAGACGAATAATAAGCCACCCCTGGATATCAAATATTCATTGTTGTCTAATGCAAATGGTTATTTGAGCCGAGGGAAATTGTTGAGGTGGCTGGAAAAACTACTAGCAAGTGCAGTAACCACATACCGAAAAGAAAAACCGCATAGGGGACAAAGAAATCGGTTCGCTCTGGTTTTTCCATTAGCGTGCAACAGCTCCCTTGCTCCCCAGTTGCCTTACCCCCAGGTACATTGTATATCCACCTGGAAAGTCAAGCACCCAACAACCCAATTGAATTCCCCTCGAAAACTTCGTCCTCGGCGTGACACCTAGGCGATAGCCGCAGTTAAATTTACAAACAGAAATTACTAGGAACAACAATCACGTACTTGGAACGTTGAGACTATACGATACCCATTAACCTTATTTTATTATAGTTATACCTTTACTCGGAGATTAAAAGGGTATATTGTAACAGTATGTTACGGGTAGAAGGAAGCGTTTATATATTTTCTTGATGACGATCACTAGCCAAGTAGATCTGCCCGTCCGCATGTCTGTCCGTATTTCTGTCCGTATTTCTGTCCGTATGCTTGTCCGTCCGTATAAAAGCTGAGATCTCGGAAACTATAAAAGCTAGAAAGTTGGGCTTAGGCATGCAGATTCTAGAGATTCCTGCTAGCGTCCACATTTTTGAAGATTTTCTTTAAGCGCAAATAGAAATTGATTTCATTGATAAATACCTATCTACAATCCAATAATCATACCAATTGCAATATTAATGAAAAAGTTATGAATTACTAAGATAATAAGTGTAATAGGCATTGCATTGTCAGTGGTACCGCTACCATCCGCTAGGTGGTGCTGACCGCTAAGTGCTGCGCCAAAAGAAATACTTTTGAATTTTATTTTAAAGTTGGTTTTCTCTTCTCTTCTTTTAAAAAGGGTTAATTATTAACAATTCTTCACACCATTTTTGATATTATTTCAAAAGAGCTCTAATTTATTCGATTATTATTACCAAGTGATTTCATTCAATGGGAAATCAGTGTGCTTGGCTAGCAACAAAAGAGGAAACGCCATGGGCCAAAAGGGTACAATAAACCCTTATCGCGCTTGGCAAAGTGGTAAGAAAATGTTCACAAACTCAATTTCCGATACCGGAATTGGTAAAAAGAACACCATAAACCTAAATTTGTCGAACAATAAATCTATATCTTTGGAATAATAAAAGTGGCGTGTGAGCCAGTTTATGGAAAAAACGTACTATTCCCAAGAATCATAAAAACTCATGGGTGGTTTTCGAGATTTGGTAGTTAGACTTTGAAGATAAATTCATCTCAATTTAGATGAAAATATTCCGGTATTTTTGGTATATTTACAAATTTATAGAACTACACATATTCCATTTTGGATATTATATTTAGATCAAATCTAAAATATTTACAGGTACATGTTTAAAAAATTCAATTTTAACAGTGGTATTTTTTAAGGGGTATTCAATTGATTGGTTAAAAAAAAGCCAACTTCCTGTAGTTCTGGAAAACGTGTACCCTTTTTTTAAAGTGCACCATGTATCGTAAATATTCTCAAAAGGGGGCATAGCTTTTTGGCCAATCTGGGGCCTTGACGGACAGTTGGCCAGGAATGCATTGCGGACACCTGCAGTCGAGTCACTCCCTCGCAGTTGGGGCCTTGTTAATATTGATGGCCAATTAAACTTGAATGTGTCATTGACGCAGTCGCCTTGGGACCTCAAGGGACCCCTTCCTTGAGGACAGGTGATTCGAAAAAGCAACCGTCACCGCTGTCTTCAATGGCAAGGCATTTGATTGATTCTAAATTAAGTTGGTGATACTGTAATTACTCTATCTGGCTGTCAGACCAATGCAATTCGTTTTCTACCTATTTCTATTTGAGGGGCCCGTTTGATTGCCTGAAGTAATTTAACAAGTCATGCAGAATGACCATTAGGGAAATTGTATCATTAAGTAGATTGATTTGCATAGGGAATATGGGCTTGGCAAATATCATATAAAGTAAACAGTAATTTGGTGAAAATCTAATAGTCCGCGTTCTATCAAAATGATTTTAAAGACCTTTAAAATGATTTTAATTATATATTATATTAGTTCAAAAGGGTAAAGGGCTTAAACAAACAGGTTCATTAACCTTTTAGTATAAAGGTGAATGACTTTCAGAAATAAATTGCCTAAGGTTAAAAGCGCAAGCTTCTAAAAGTATAATTTGCAGGTAATTACCTTAATATCACCTAAGGTAGGGTTCACCATTTTTATTATTACTATGAATATATTTGATTTGTTGGAAATACTTTTCCGGCTTCTTTTAACGTAATAAAGCAAACATTGTAATAAGTTGTTACTTAATATACATCATGAATAAAATAACAACTTAACGATATTGACTTTATGGCAAAACCCTCTAACAATGTTATTTTCCAGCACATTGTTAAATGTTTTCCGTATTTTGTACTCTAGCTCAAAAAGTTTGGGGTTATTTACAATCATACACTCGAGATCTTTATTGACACAGATGTCTTTACTAGAATACTTTACTGACGCAATTCTTTTAGCTCAAAATATCATCATTTTAGTTTAGATGTAATAATCTCTATTGTTTATTGTATGTTGGAACCATATGTTAGAGAGCATATGTTAAAAATTAAAGTAGGGCTTTGTTAAAAGATCATTCCAAATATATTCTATCTAAAATGAATACAATGTAACACAATTTTTTATTGGATTTGGTAATCTACACTATTCACTGCATGATGGAACTATACGTTAGAGACCATATGTTAAAAAATAAATTACGATTTTCCTAAAAAATAATTTACGGTTTTGTCAAAAGATCATTCCTAACTTTATCCTATATATATGTTTTAATATTATTATTTGTTAATCTCTATTATTCACGCTATGACGGAACTATACGTTAGAGACCATATGTTAAAAAATAAATTACGATTTTCCTAAAAGATCATTCCCAACTATATCCTATATCGAATAAATAATATGTTTTAATATATTATTGGGGTACTCACAACAGATTTCGGACATCGCAGGGTCGGGTGAGGAAGGCCGGGATGAGGACGATCGAGTTAAAGGACACGATGCCGTAGTACATCATAAATTTGAAGTAGTATCGGAATATGTGATTGGTCTCGTACAGAAATGGCAGCATCAGCAGCAGGAAAAGTCCCAGCAGCTCGAAAAACGAACTCATTGTGATCCCGAGATTGCGATGCTGCTGATATATTTTTTCTTCTTGATTATATTACCGATTCAGTTTAGTGGTTCCGATTCAGATCCGGATCGTGCTGGAATCAATCTGCAGACTTTCCTCCCCTGCTTTCCACTCCACTTCACTTTCTCCACTCGTTTTCCTCCCCTATATTGTATCTTAATATTCCCCGTACTCTGGCTTTCCTCTGTTTAAGGCAGATTGCAGTCTTTTAGGTGTGAATTGTGTGTGGGTATGTCGGTTGTTCCTGTCGTTGTGCTGCAGAAAGGGAAGAAATATTGATCAATCATACTATAGTACAGTCACTGGGATCTTTTCAGTTCGATAGGAATTTAGAAACCAAAAAAAAAAGAATCCAAAATTTTTTGATCGCGTAAAACAAATTTTACGGATAGAGCATTTAAAGATGATAAATTATAGGACTATAGGACTTTTCGAAAGAATTTAAATATTCTGATTTTCAATAATAAACATCCCTAAATGATTTTTAAAACCCTTAAAAAAAAAAATAAAAAAACATATTATCCGGGTTTTAAAAGACAGGGGATAAATATTTTTGACAATATGTATTTATATATTATATTATATTTATTATTAACAAAAATTCATAATATTTAAGTATAAAAACATTATTATCAGGGTTTTAAAAATCATTTAGGGATACTTATTTTTGACAAAAATTCAGAGTATTTAAATTGTATCCAAAAGTCAGGACAACCTTAAAGGTTCTTTTAAAACTATACGACTAATATCCGTTAGTTTACTTAGGTATGCAAATGTAGATAGTAGAGGGTTAATTTATACAGTTTTACAAGCACCTCTTTTCTGTTATGGTTCAAGTTAATAAAGTGATAAGTGGTGATAAAGAGAGGCAAAAGGGAGATCGGGCGATTGGAGTATGTTGCACTTGCACGCCATTCTCCTATTCCTTCTACTTCTTTTATTGCTCTTTCTTTTATTCAAGCACTAACATGACAATTATGGGAATGCAACGAACCACAACATTAAACAAACACACATGTGCAGTAAAAAAAATAGTAATAGAGAAATGAAATACAAATTATAATTATTAACTAACAAATTTAAAAAAAAATTTAAATAAATTAGACTAAATTCAAAAAATGTTTTTCATTTTTATCCACCAGTAGGTAATATTAACATCATTTTTTTTTTAATGGTAAATAGTGCTATTATTTTGAACGCAGCTGTATGTACAGCAGCCCAGAAGAGAGAGAAAAAATCAATTTAAATATGCGCCCAGCGGCGAAAAACGAAACAAAACAAAAAAGGGGGGAAAAGCGAAGGAAAGGGAATTTACCATACCATATGTGTTTTTGTATGGGTTTTATAGATACTATGCGACACTATCAATTGATCAGCTATTGAATTTCGATTTGAATGCTGCAAATAGATAGTATTTATTATGCGGGAAATTGTCAATTCTACGTGACCATCTTCTGTATTTAGTTTTCTCTATCCATTCCTATTAACAAGCTTAACCCTTGATGGACAGTTTTGTTTTGGAAATCAGAAAATGTATTTAAATTTTAAATTTTAAAAACTATTTTTAATATAAGCAACAGGAGATTTACGGTGTTTTAATAAGAATTTTTAAATGAATTGATTAACGAAAACTATGATAATATATGGAAAATTTAGTATCAAACATTTGAAAAAAATGGAAAAATGGAAATGTCGTAAGGATTTTAATAAATAATATAGAAAAGCAATAATATAGGAAGCAACTGGAGATTTACGGTATTTTATCAAGAATTTTTAGATGATTTGATTATATGAAAACTATGATAATATACGGAAAACGTAGTATTAAACATGTGAAAAAATGGAAAAAGCAAATGTCTTAAGGATATTAATAAATATTATAGAAAAGCAAACCATTTAACATTTTCCTTTTTGAACAACTAAAAAAAAACTAAACTTATTGGCAAAAGTCAAACCATATGGGACTTCGAAAAGTGGGTCCAACTAGGGTTAATATTCTTATTTCTTTTACATCTGGCACAAAACAAAATAAGCAAAAACAAGAACGGTAATTGAGGGTTGCGCGCAGAGAGCGGGCAAAAGAGAGAGAGAGCATGTGTGGCAGACACGCCAAGGATAATAGCAAGTAAAAACCAAGAAAAAAACAAGAAAAAAACAAGAAAAAAAAACACTGCACACACACACGAAATTAACATAAATAAATACAATTTTCGCCTGCCTCCTTTGTTGTGGGCAAATCTTTACAATTAAATTAAACAATTTTAATATAATACAATTTGCGGCAGATTGCGGAATTTACTAGCACACAAACTACAACCAAAGAGCTCACTTTTTCTTCGTTTTTTTGTTGTTGTTGTTGTTGCTGTAGATTTTAATAAAAGGGATTACGTTTTTTTTATATTTCTTTTAATTTGTTGTCTTTCTTTTTTGCTGCCTTTTGTTGTTGCGGCGAACGACAGAACGCCGACGTCGACGGCGACGTTTGGCGAGAATTTCGGTTACCGGCGTTCGCGCGACTTTGGGATAGAGGTGCAGAAACATCGATGGAAACGTCGATGCATCGATAGTTTTCATATTTGTCAAGACATCGATGTTTTTTGACTATCGATGTTTCTAGAACCATCACTGTTAAAAGAAGGAGGATTCCTTTACTTTTTTGGATGGTACAAATATTTTATTTAATTATTTATTTATATACTTATTTATTTATTTGCTTATGTATTTATTTCTTTATTTATTTTTTATTTATTCATTTATTTATTTAGTTTTTTTTATTTATTTATTTATTTATTTTTTTATTTTCTTAACAAATTAAAGCTAGTATATAATACTAAAATTAATATTTGAAAAAGAAGGGGCGCTGGAAGCCGAAGTCCTTTGGTCCGTGGTATAAATATAAATTGCGTACTATGATTATTTTCAAATAAAAAATTATTCTAATTTTAACAGTTTTTAAAGAATACTAAAATTAATATTTAAAAAAGAAGGGGCGCTGGAGCTGAAATCCTTTGGCTCGGGATAAAATATAAATTGCGTATTATGATTATTTTAAAATAAACTATTAACTATGTTTTAACGGTGTTAAAAGAACATGGAGCCTTACAAGGAGTTGGCAAAAAAATGGTTGTGCATTTCTGGAAAGAACGCAAATAATTTCAGATCGCAGAACCCGTTTGAAGTCAGATATCGTAGATCAGCTAATGCTAATAAATAAGTATAACAATAGCTCTAAAAAGTAATCCCATTAGACTGTAAGATGATCTCATTTGACTGTATTTTTAATTTTATGTTTATGTTTTTCTTTTTTATTTCTTAAGTGAATAAATGTTTTGTTTTTTATTTTTTATACAAATTCAATTGAGATTTTTGAATTATATTTTAAAATATATAATAATTATGGAAAGCATCGATGTTTGGTCGATGTTTTTTGAATAACATCGATAGTTTTGCATCTCTACTTTGGGAGCAACTAAGCATCTGAACGAGCTTAAACGATAGGCAATGCGGAGACATATCGATAGTAAAAGGGGTGTGTGTCCGCAGTGCAGAGATACCATCATTGGTTTGTGTCCATGATGGGGCCAAAGTAACTACAACTGGAATTAAACTGCGAAAAAAGATTAGTAAAAAACCAAGGCAAGTTCGAAAACAAATTAAAGTTAACTAAACAAAGGTAGGTATTTATTAACAAATAAATTGTATTATTATTATATTTTGTTTTAAAAAAATTTGGGAAACCCAAATAATGTTCCACTAATAATATACATTTATAAGTCTATAATATAGACTATATAAAGACTCCTATATCAATACATTAACACATAATTAATAGTTAAAAAATAAACTTTTAATGGGTATCAAATGGAGTGGTACATGAATGACATTTTTTAAGGAACCAATTTTAATTTTAAAACCAAATAAAATTAAAAAAAAAAATTACATATCCGTCGTATTTTATTTTAAATACTAAGAGGCTTTACATTTTTAAATCATTAAAATGTATAACATTTATACAATATCTGAAATAAAAATCAACAATTTATGTTAAAAACAAAATTGTAATTAAAAACCTGTAGAAACTAAAAATTAAAAAAGGAAAAGTTTGTAAATATAAAACTTAAAAAGGCATGCAATTTCTAAACCCGGTTAGAATTATTAAAAAAAAATATTCATGGTCGGTTTTTCTTTTCGCATGTAAAAATAATCTTTAAATTTGCTAACGTTTTCAAGGCTTAAAATATATTATATGTTTAACATACCGATAACAAATTTCTTTTTTAAATATACATTTTGTTTTTTAAATTAGATGGTTGTAGTATCTAAAAAATAGAAATATAAGAACTAAATTTAGGGAAACAATTAGTCGAAGTCCACAAAAAGCTGCCCCATTTTTAAAATTTACATTGTGTAAACCTTTAATTTACTCCTGTTGTATTACACAAGTTGAAGTAAAATGTGAAAACAATGCCATGATTCTTCCCAGTCACTTCCTCTTCCTGGGAGCCAAGGAAGCAGAAAGAACCTGAATGCTCAAATACTTGGCAAACCTGCTGACAGCCAAGCGAGATATGATTTAGATGCGAATTTTTGCACTTGGCAACCAGTTGGAATTGCGAAATCCCAGCCTTTGGCCTGCGGAAAACGTGTGTCAAGCGGCGGGGAATCGTTTTTATTTTTATAAAGACAGTCTTGAAACAAAGCAGAAACAAAAATATTTTTGTTTACATTTGATTTTCTTATCTCTGAACGATCCGTGTGGTGAAGCTGACGACTAGAAAGTCGGGCAGGTGGACAAGTCTACGGATCATGGACGCAAAACCATAATAATCAGTTGCAAATGTGGAAAATATTCCAAAGAAACAACTTCCGACAAACACTCTTATTTATTTAAAGGTAAAAAAAATAAAAAACATATTTTTTAACTGCTGACAGCAGGAATTGAACTTGCGCCTTTGGTGTATCAATTTTTTTACCATTACACATGTTATTACTTTTTTAATATAGTTAAAACTTAAAAAGAAAATATAATAGCCAAGTATAAAATAATTAATTTAAAATTTTCACATCCATTAGTACACATATTAACCAACAAAAACGTTTATATTTTAAAATATATACAGAACGAAACTAAGTTTTTATTAAAGGTAGTAATATATTAAAATCTGGAACCGAAAATATCATTAATGGCGGGTTTTATTTTTTTTACATATATTTGTCAAAAATAAGACACTTTTTACATATGTGCGCAGAAGGTGTAAAAATTAGCCAAATTTAAAAGAAAACATTTTACAAAGTATCTAAAATGTAGAAAATTTGGAAAAAGAATAAAAAGAAGTGTTATTTTGGGCCCCTGATTATAAGTTTAATCAAACTTTACGATTTTACAAATTAAAGCAAGATTGTCGATGGTAGATAGATTAAAAATGTATCGAAAATGAATGTATATAATACCAAATACCAAATAAGATCTACAATGTTGATTCTACATACTTCATATCTTTCTACAGTTTTCATATTTCTTTCTACATAATTCATAGCTTTCTACAGATATGTTAATATATCGTATAGCCATGAAAGGATACGATTAATTTGGAAAATTACCTATCGATGTTTTCTTAGAATACCCTAAAAAAGCCAGAGGGGGATTGCAATGTTTACGATTCACCCAAAACCTATCGATATTATAGAGATACGATAGGGCCTCGCACAGATGTTTTGGATACAGCACTTTGAAAGTGGGACGCCGTTTATAAAACGTCTGCAAAGAGGAAAACCCAAATATTCCGAGGGCCTGGAGTCCGGGAAATCGTAACCGCCACTGGAGGTAAATGCCCAAATAAATATGTAGAAAAATTACAAAAAATTCCAATTTGGCCAGTGTTCAAAAACTTTAACTCAAAAACAAAAAAACCATAGCAGCCCGGGACATTTCAATCGATTCCAGAAATTTCAGATTCAGTACGGTACAGAATGATTACTGGGTGAATAACCGGTGGGATATATATAGAATACTATATGAAAATGGAACGAATCCTGAAACGCAGACGACCCCTATCGCCAATTGATTTGTTCAAAGAACCCAAACCACCCACGACTAAAGCAGTTCGTCGGATTGCCCTGAACGACTATATAATCATATCGCGACAATTGGTGATCAATAGAGCTGGCCGGGATCCGGATAGACGTAGTGCCAAGATGCTGGTGATCCTGGAGAGCTTCAAGCAGTATGTCATCACCTTCACACTGCCCAGTTCCTCCTGCACGGTGCAGGATTTGCTCCGCGAGATGGGCGTAGAGTTCGATGAGAGGACCACCATCGATGCCACGGAGAAATCCGAGGGCACCTTCAATGTGGTGGTCTGTGTGGGCTTCTACATAAGCGAGGCCACCGACGAGTTGGTCAAAAGCACTGAGAAGGTCTACAACGAGATGCATCAGGCCAAGAAGTCAGCAGGAGGAGCTGCCATAGAGCCAAAGATCCCGGAACCCACTGATCTAAGTACTAAGCCAGCTGCTTCGGAGGACATCAATGGCAACCAGCAGGCTGCAGAGGCTTCCGGGAGCAGCAAGAAACGCAGGCACCGCTCTTCAAGTGGGAATACACCATCTCCTGGTACTTCCCAGTTCCATGAGCAATCTGGTGAATCTCGTAAACCTAAGAAGCACAAGAAAAGGCATTCTTCATGTGGCAAATCAAAGGACAGCCATAGCCGGCAGTCTTCTGATAGGAAGGAACTCCCAGAGGCGGAAGAATCCACTTCAAAGGGCAACAACGTTTCACTGGAGCGGGATGCAGATGCTCGCAAAAGCAGGAAGCACAAGAAGCATAAGAAGCACAGTACCAGATCTTCAGGTGAAAAGCCAGCTGTTCCAAAGGATTACAAGTCGGAGAAATCCAAAGCAAGCTCCTCTACATGTGGAAATTCCCATACTTCAAGGGACAACAAGAGTTCCCATTCCCAGAAATCTAAACAAAACAGCTCCACAGATGAAAATTCTCGTACTCCAAAGAAGAACCATGGTTCCCAGATGAACCAGTCGCAGAAATCCAAAGAAAGCAGCTCTGTAGATGAAAAACCCCATACTTCAAAGAACAACCATGGTTCCCAGTCGCAGAAATCCAAAGAAAGCAGCTCCACAGTTAGAAATTTATGTAATCAAAAGTTCAACTTTGATTTCCAGATGATCCGCTCGGTGAAATCCAAAAGAAGCAGCTCATTAGACGGATATCCACATACTCCAAAGGAAAACATTGTTTCCCATAGGCTACAGTTGCCGAAGCAATCTTGGGACGAAGAGCCTAGTTGCAGTCAATTTGCCAACATATTCGGAACCAAAATCAACGAATTTAAGCCACGATCGGCTTTCCAATCCTGGCCAGCTGTCAGTACCACCAGTGAAAAACCAAAAACACCCGAAGAAAGGGCTGAGCTAAGCCGCCTGCGCAGACTTCGCAATTGGAACCTTAGCCGGGACTGTGATGATGATGACGATGATGATACTGTGGTGCTGCTGAGCAGCAGCAGCGAGGATGAGGAGGAGACCAGCAAAATGGAGGGACAAACGAAGGTGGCCAAACAAGCCTCAGAAAGTCGTCTGTCCACCGATGAGAATCTCACCCTGCTTATGTATCCGCCCACGGGAACCGGTGCCCTGAGCATCGGCATGAAGGACTACATGTGCCTAAGTCGGGGCAGCTATCTAAACGACATCATCATCGATTTCTATCTGCGCTGGCTCAAGAATAATGTCATACCAGAGGGTCAACGCGAGAGGACGCACATCTTTAGTACATTTTTCCACAAGAGATTGACCACATTGACGCGTCCCATAAACGCCAAGCAGTCGGCGGCCCAGAAGCGTCACGAAAGGGTCCAAAAATGGACACGCACAGTGGATATATTCGATAAGGATTTCATAATCGTACCATTCAACGAGCAGGCTCATTGGATACTGGCCATTATATGTTTCCCCAGTCTCAGCGGACCGGTGGCCTATAAAGATGGTGATAAGTTGGACCACGATGGGCCCATCAAACAGCCATTGATCCTCATCTTCGACTCCTTGGCGGTCACCTCACGTCATCGGGCAATAGCCATATTGCGGGATTATCTAACCTGCGAGTACCGGGCCAAGAATCCCAAGAGGAAGGCGCACATCTTCAACAAGGACAACATGCCCGGACATCAGGTCGAGGTGCCCCAGCAGGAGAATCTCACGGATTGCGGCCTGTATCTGCTGCAATATGTAGAGCAATTCTTCACGAAACCCATCAAAGACTACAGACTGCCGATTACTCAGCTGGTTAAGTGGTTTGATCTGCTCACAGTGACCAAAAAACGAGAAGATATAGCAAATCTCATACAGAAACTGATGGACGAGGGCAATCAGCAGCAGCGGCGCAAGATTCTGCCCGTCCTCGAGTTTCCCACACTGAATGGTGAATTGGTGGAGGAGGATTGAAGGTTTTTTCGACACATTTCCGATCGATGGAGAAAGAAAAACTCTTAACACACTCGCCTTTTAAAGGGGTGTTTTTTTCCAAAAAGACAGTAGTACATCACCCAATAATTATTTGCATAACTGACCAAGGCAACTTTTAAAGTTCAAGGGCAATACCTAGCAGCATTATACACTACATAATTTACACTTTACAAAAGGATGCACAAGGACCAAAATACAATACAACTGAAATAAAACACAAGAGACATGGAAAAAAAATTTTTGCCAAGTTGTTATGGTTGCTCTGCGAAAGGGAAATACTTTGAAAGGGTTCTATCGTTGGACTTATTAATGGAGATCCTCTAAACGACACAAAAATTCATTTTTATGGAGTACTATAGAGTGCAAGTGAAAAACCAGAGGGTCACTGAGAAAATAGAGTGTATTTGGGGTCACCAAAATGCGAAATTCTAAGAAAACACTTGCCAGCAAGTAAAGGAGGGGCGCCAACAGGAAAATAAGTCTAAAAGAGCCTAAAGAAGCTTCTAGATGAAAGAATTGGGTCACCAAAAGGAATTTATAAGTATCCAGGTGAAGTAGTTGGGTCACCAAGAGGATAAAGAATCTTCCAGATGAAAGAATTGGCTCACCAAGAGGATGTAGAAGCATCCAGGCAAAAGAATTGGGTGACCAAGATGATAAAGATGGTTCTAGATGAAAGAATTTGGTAACCAATAGGATGTAAAAGCATCCAGGAGAATGAATTGGGTCACCAATAGATGAAAAAGGGTCACCAAGACCAGAAAAAGGCCATAAAGGCAAAGCCAATAACCATCAAGTGAAAAAGTGTTGCCAAGGTTAGGAAAACGGGCATAATGTAAAGGCTAGTCACCAGAAAATTATGAATGTCTCATATATAAAACTAAAATGGGTCACCAGACCTACGAAATGTCAGATGCTTGATGCAAAAAAAAAATATATATAGCTTTACAGTATACCAAAAATGAATCCTAAGATAAGCCAGTAACTCGAAAATCGCAGGGTATTATAGATCAGCATTATACACGCGTTTCTAAGCCCACACACACACACACGCACGCACACACATAGGCTTACGTTTATACGATCTCTGTGTATGGGTGGGGGTTTCGGCGATAAGAAAATCGAGCCATAAAGTCGCGCCGGCGATTCTGCTGACGCTCAGTTGCTTTGGAGCGATTCTTCGACGCAGACGAACGGCGGAGTTTACGGAACGTCCGAAAAAAAAACAACAAATAAACAGGCCTAAAAGCAAGCAGAGAGAGAGGGGGACAAAAGCAAGAGCAAAGCAACAGCAAAGCACAAGCACAAGCGAAGAGCGAGCACAAAGCAAAGCGCGCAACACGTGAAACAGCAGCCGTCAATTGGTTTTAATTTCGATTCAGTAAGGCGATTCTAGAACGAGATGTCCACCGCAGCCACCACAACAACATCGAGTAAGTTTATCCAGTTCTCGAGTTACCCCCCAATATTCCAGTGCAAAAACAGCCCCCCAGTCCCAAATAAACATCTCTGTACCATATCAAATTTTCACTATTCTACTGTATTTGAACGTAAATATTATCAGAACTTTGGGCAAACACCCTCAAGGGCGTAAAACCAACTTTTATTTAATATCATTCTGAGATTTCTATAGGCTGCAAACTTACTTAGAGACCTATAAACAGGGAAAAAGAAGTGACACCCAGATCACAAATAAACATCTCTGTAGCATATCAAATTCACGCCATTCGACGGTTCTTGGAACACTTGTAATATTATCAGAACTTTGGTCAAAAGCCTTCAGGGGAGAAAAACATCTCTTATTTATATCAAATTTGTGTTATTCTGATATTTCTGAAGTCTACAAACGAATTAGAGACCTATGTATAAACAGGGAAAGCTACTCAAGGGTGAAAAACAACTCTTATTATTATCAAATTCCTATTATTCTGAGATTTCTTAGGTCCACAAACATATTAAAAACCTGTAATCATGTTAAAAGACCTCAATGGAAAAAAAAATGAGACTTATTTTTAAATTTGTATTATTCTGGAATTTCTTAAGTCTAGGAACATGTTAGAGACCTTAAAACGGAGAAAAATTCATACCCCTTACATTAGGTATATCAAAATTAAATAATTTACATTAAAATTCAGCTTTAAAGTTAAATAGGACTTTTTCAAATAAAAGTATCATATACTTAGAATACAATATTATTGTTTTTTCACATTTATCACAAGTTATTCAGTGAATTCTCCAGTTTTAGGAAAGTTTTAAAAACAAATATTATTTGGTCCACCTGTTTTAAAATTCAAAATAATACAATAAATTATAAAAGTGGCAAAATTTGTGTTAGTGTGTCCAATATAATTTTAATTTATATATTATAGAAATAAAATCTTCTAAACCTTCCTGTCTAATTTTGATTTATTAAAAACAACATGCACAATCTAATATGATATTATTATGATTTTCGCAGTGCTGTTTATTGACCTGTATTCTAAATTTTTGTAAACAAGAAAGCTTTTAAATTCCCAAACTCAAGATTATATATGATCTTTGAAATTCGGAACCGATTTTTTTATTTTCCATAATATATTTAAATGTATTAAACATGTATTAAATCATTTCACAGTCGAGGGCTACAAGCTCGGAAAGGTCATCATCGAGGGCAAGACCAAGCAGGTGTACGATCTGCCCGAACAGCCTGGACTTTGCCTGCTCCTCAGCAAGGATCGCATCACCGCCGGAGATGGTGTCAAGGCCCACGATCTGGCGGGCAAGGCGGAGATCTCCAATACCACCAACGGACAGGTCTTCCGATTGCTCAACGAGGCCGGTGAGTAGATGTCTGAAATGTTTTTGGATCCATCGAGAACTAAATCCTCCAAATAATCATTTTTAACACTAGTACTTGGTATTATTTTCGGCCTTCCTTTTTTTTATTAATTTAAGTCAACCAAATAAGTCAAAAAATAAATTACATACTCTTTAACGGATACTTTTTTTTTTTTAATAGTTAGTTTAAGTATTTTTTAACATTTATGATTTTAATGAATAAAATTCTTTCTAAAATGATAAACCTTTTCTGACCGTATACCCATAAATTAAGATAATTAGTTTGATTTTCAATGTTAATGATGGGGTATGCATATTATTTTTTTTGGCATGATCCTTGAACAGTTTTTTTTTTACATTAAAGAAAATTATTTTATATAGTATGTATATATAGTTTATTAATTTATAAAATGTATATATCTAAAAATGCATTTTAATTTATAAGAATGATCCTTAAAACTTTTTTATTTCAATTAAACGATTTATTTTAAATAAAATCTCTATATAGTTTACTAAATTATAATAAGTATAAACTAATGAGAATAACTTGTATAAATAGCTTATGGTTTTGTCGTACATTTTATGGTATATATATTTGAACTATAAATATATAATCCAGATAACAATTTGTGTAAAGACAAAACAAAATTGTTCCATATAATAAAACTAACTTTGTAACTACAAAATTTATAATATATATATGTTAGAAAGCGGGTTTCTGATTAAACTTATTGCTTTTTTATAAGTAGATATTTTAAACCATCTCAAAATATTACAATGTCATGATTATTATCATTCAAACTAACAAATTTCTGTATTTTTCCACCTTTTTCCCCAGGAATTCGCACCGCCTATGTGAAACAGTGCGGATCGAAGGCGTTCATCGCCCGCAAGTGCCAGATGATACCCATTGAGTGGGTGACCCGTCGCCTGGCCACTGGATCCTTCCTCAAGCGCAATGTCGGAGTGCCCGAGGGCTATAGGTTGGTATGGCAACAGTGGGTGTGCATTTGCATACATACGTCTCTGTCTGGGGTTATCACACCAACCGATCCGATCCGTTTCGATCCAAAACGAACCGATTCGATCTCTGTTATCTGGGCCCGTTTGCGGTAAACAAATTTAAATGCAATCGATGCACTGAGGCAGGGTCAACAATCGCTGATAAGCCCATATAGCTATATATATTCATAATATTGCTGGAGTCATCAGAATCGAATCGTAAGGTCTGTAATTCAAGCCGGATTTTCGTCATAGCGCCGCCAATCGATCTGAAAGCTCGTGTCATTAGATGTCAAGCCAAGGCAATAGGCATTTTTATGGCTTTGATCATAGAGCAGGGCGAACATCTCTGCCTCCATGAGATTTTTCTATCGTATGATAGTGGGATACATTAAAAATACATCAAATTAGACAGAATGCGTAGTACTATGTTTCTTTTTTTTCATGGTACTGGTGTAAATCAGGTTATTCGAAAAACATTTCGGTTAAAATATATAGCAAAGGTATCTCTCAACAATTATTTTTGATTTAATATATAAATTCAAAATTATTTTTAGCTGTGGACCCTTTTTAATATATGTAAAGTGCAAAGACTTCTTAAAATAAATCCAGTTAGTAGTCGAAAGTTATGTATCGTAGAGTCAGTTCTTAGCGCCTAGGTGGGCTTAAAAATATTTATATATTAATTCTTAAAGTACCGAGCTTTTCTCAGTGTTCTTATCTTATGTTTGAAATGAGTAAACTTTATTAACAATTTATATTATTTTATATGCTTTTAAAATCCTATAAGAAGTTCATTTTAATTGACGTATATTTATTTATACATTTTGGGAACCCCTATGCTTAAGTAAAAAATATAATAAACTTAGTAACAAGTTTACATTATTTTATATGCTTTTAAAATCCTATAAGGAGTACATTTTAATCAATGTATATTTATTTATACATTTTAGGGACCACTATGCTTAAGTAAAAAATAGAATAAAGCAAGAAAAAATATATTTTTATATGAAGAAATATATTTTTATCCAAATTTTTTATTCAAAAACATAATAAAGCATTTTAAGAAATATATTTTTATAAAAAAAACGTATAAAAAAATATAATACAAAATCTAGGAAATATATTTTTATGAAAAATGTAATAGTAATAATTTTTAATATTATTTACCAGTATGCTCCCCAAAATATATATATAATTATAAATCGATTAAAATAAGCTCCTTAAAAGATTTTTAAATATATTTCTGTATTGTACAATTATTATTAGGCACTAAATATTAAAAAGTATTACGATTTTGTAATACTAACAAATGTACAACTTGTTTAAAGTCACTAAATTAAAATCAATCCTCTTTTTTTTAGATTCTCGCCGCCCAAACAGGAGACCTTCTTTAAGGACGATGCCAACCACGATCCCCAGTGGAGCGAGGAGCAGATCGTCTCGGCCAAATTCGAGCTGAATGGCCTGGTGATCGGTGAGTTATGTCATGGCCTTCATAAATATTCAATTAAACCATAAACTCATTCCGCCCAAACAGGCCAAGATGAGGTGGACATAATGCGTAGAACCACTCTGCTGGTCTTCGAGATTCTCGAGCGGGCGTGGCAGACCAAGAATTGTGCCCTGATCGACATGAAGGTGGAGTTTGGTATCTGTGACGATGGCAATATAGTACTGGCCGACATCATAGATTCCGATTCGTGGCGCCTTTGGCCGGCGGGTGATAAGCGCTTGATGGTGGACAAGCAGGTGTATCGCAATCTGGCAGCGGTGACTGCCAGCGATTTGGATACGGTCAAGAGAAATTTCATTTGGGTGGCCGAACAATTGGCCGACATTGTGCCCAAGAAGGATCATCTGGTTGTGGTGCTAATGGGCAGTGCTTCCGATACTTCGCACAGCGAAAAGATAGCCACCAGTTGTCGTTCCCTGGGACTGAATGTGGAACTCCGGGTGAGTTCTGCCCACAAGGGACCCGAGGAGACGTTGCGCATTGTCCGCGAGTACGAGTCGGTGATGAGCAACCTCATCTTTGTGGCCGTCGCTGGACGTTCCAATGGACTGGGTCCCGTTGTTTCTGGCAGCACCAACTATCCGGTGATCAATTGTCCACCCGTCAAATCTGACAACATGCAAGTGGATGTGTGGTCTAGCCTGAATCTGCCATCGGGCCTGGGCTGTGCCACCGTTTTGTATCCGGAGGCAGCTGCTCTGCATGCGGCCACCATTTTGGGACTGGGCAACTTCATGGTCTGGTCGAAATTGCGCGTCAAGGCGCTGAACAACTTCATCACCCTCAAGAAGGCCGACAAGGAGCTGCGCGGCGTGCGAAATGCTTAGATGGGGAAATACTTATGGGGATTACTTGGAGAACTTACCAAGGGGCCATATATGATATGCCATCCGGCAAGGATCTACATTGAAAGATCTTCCGCAGATCCCATCG